TGCACTTAATTCTCATTTCAAGAGGACAGGACACAGAACTAAAACTGCTTTAGTGGCACTGATGAATGATCTCCTCCTGTCAATGGATAGAGGACAGATATCCATTCTCAACCTCCTGGACCTCTCTGTGGCATTTGATACCGTTGATCATGATACTGTTGTCTCACCTGAGAGAGGGGGCACAAGTCCAGGATAATGCACTAAAATGTTTTCAGTCCTTCCTGGAGGGATGCGCCCAGAGAGTAGTGAGGGAAATTGCACCTCCACCTCTAGACCCTCACTTGTCGGGTTCTGCAAAGATCAGTTCTCTCTGATCCTTTCCAAAATCTACACGCAACCACTAGGTGAACTGGTCAGATGACACAGACTCAAGTGTCAGCAATATGCAGATGACACACAGCTCCACCTGTCCTTTACCACATACAACCACACCACTACCAACAAGATGGACCTGTGCTTGAATGAGATCAGCTCATGGATGAGAACAGCTGGCTGAAGCAGAACCCAAGCAAAACAGAGGTGATGCTGGTGGACAGAGGATGGTATTTTGAAGAGTTTGCAGCCACAATGCAGTCTTCATTGACTGAAAGTTCACATCCTCAGTTAGTCAGTTCAGTCCGTAGTCTAGGAGTACTCTTGGATTTCTTGCCAACACTGAGCTCTCACATCACAACGATTGTGAGTAATGCTTTTTAGCATCTCCAGTTGGCTAGCAGACATCCTGGCAGAAGAAGACCTGGCCTCCATTATTCCTGCCTTTATCATATCTTGGCTGGACTACAGAAATGTGATATACCTGGGCAGGAAACGGCAGCACTTAGGAAACACCCACTAGTACAAAGTGCTGCTGTGCATCTCCTCAGCAACACAGGCTACCATGAACACATCATACTTGTCCGCTCTCTTCACTGGCTTCTCATAGCATTTTGAATCAAGTTCAAGGTCTCAGTCCTTATTTTCAAAGCACTCCATGGCCGGGGACCATGAGACCTAAAAGATCTAAGATGAAGATTGTAGTTGATAACCGCGCTTCGCTGGCCATGGAACTCTCAACAATAAAGGTAAAGCTCACCTGAGCAGGAGACAGAACCTTCTCCAGGGGCTGGTCCCAGACTGTGGAATGAACTCCCCCAGGAACTAAGAACCATCACAAACTTTTGCACTTCAAGTGCAAGGGGCATTCCTTTAACCTTGACTTTTCTAACATCAACAAATAGCAACAGTTACATTTAATTAATAAATAAAAACCCCACCAAAACCAGACACTCCACTGCACACACCTTTCCCTTTGTGGGGGAGGATAAGAGACCAAACAACATGTGACAGATGTATAGTCATGTTACTTATTGCACTACTGGAAAGCGCTCAGATACTACAGTGATGAGTGCAGCTTATATATATATATAAAATAAATAAATAAAATAGACTAGAAAGGTATTCAGACCTCTAACTCCCATTGATTTCAATTATTTCAATGGGAGTTATGTACCTAAATACCTTTGAGGATCCTGACTAGAGAAATTACATGATCTGACTAAGGTCACACAGGAAGTCTGTGGCAGAGATGGGAATTGATCGCAGGACTCTAGAGTCCCAAAGCAGTGCCTTAATTGCAAGACCCACCTTGTTTTAGCCCTAAAAACAAAAGCATTTCTAATGGAATCTGCACCTCAAAGTTTTGGTCATACCACTGAACAACTTCAAACCCTTGGGCCCAATTTTCACCTTAGATATGGGCACAGAATGACATGGAGTTTATGATGCACCTGTATCTGAGGGCTGAATTTGACCTGTGACTTGTAAGCTGCTTAAAATATTCTGAACTATTTTCAACCTACCCCTAAATCCTACATCTTATCTTTTAAGGTGTGCACAGTGGATCTTGACTCTAGTTTCCCCCTAACTGTGCAGAACTTCTATGCCAAAGGGAGTTCCTTCCATTTCAATTGAGCCTTGTGGTGCGGAGCTGTGGGGATAACTATATCTAAACATTTTGTAGGCATGTAGCAGCTTAAATGCATGTAAGGCATGAACATTCTCTGTGCATGGTTTGTTTCTTTGAGCACATTTGTGCTTATACAGCTCTAGAGCTAACACAGCCTCTGAAATAACATCTAGTGCTGTGACAAAGATTTAGGCATGAGTTGAATACACACAGACACACACACCGGCTCTCTCTATGATTTTCATGTGGAAATTTCTCACAAGTTCAAATGATTCCGTAATTTTTTTTTTAACTATTCAGGTCTAAACCAGACACTCTCAGGAGGCTCATTTGCTTGTTTGATAAACCAGAAAAGAACAGTGTGTTCATACAAGTATTTGAATACAGGAAATATGAGTCTAATCAGTATCTTTCCAACTACGTATGGGGGGAGGAGTGAAATGCTACTTAATGTCTTTTAAAGTACTATTTAAATAGCTGCACAGAAGCACCATCCAATCACGTCTCCCGTATTTATAACATGCTGAGTATTTTGTTTTAAATCACATTTTATGAAGAAAACAGAAACAAAATGAGAAGAGAAAAACAACAATAACAAGATGTCATTTAGAAGATATATTACACAAATAGTTTAATGGTCACTTCTCACCTGGCTATATAATGTAAAAGAAATTATATAAAATTGAGCAATTATGGCGCACACATTAGGGTATGGCTCAAAGCTGGGCTTCTAAATTTCCTGAGGGCCAGTATGAATTCCACAGGGAGTGACGCTTTGTTGGTTAAGCATTCCAGAAGCAACTGAGGGGTGCAATCAGAAAACAAATCCCACCCCACAATAAACAAACTTGCAATGAGCTTTGAAGAAATGATAGACTGATGGTAAAGTGCAGGCCCCAGGAAATGTTTGAATGCTCTCAGATGCCGTGTTAAACTCATTGATGGGACTCGGGAACAATATTTTTTAAAATGGTAAAATTCAGGGCATTCTAGAATTAAATCGTGCACTTCTCAACAAAGCAAACGGAAAGCATGACACTACTGGCCACACAGGCATTAAATACCTTCCTTGCCCTTTTGTTTCTGAAAAGAAAAAAAAATCTAAGCAGCATATTAATGGTATGACACATCAAGAGGATTTCTGAGCAAAGGCCCGGTACTGTTATATATGGGATGGAAAGTGTGGTCTATTACACAACACTAGGGTAAGATACATGAACAAAAGTGGGCACTTAACTTTTTGGGTGTCCAAGTTTTTGTTCACAAAAAACTAGCTTTGAGGGCTGGAGAAAATGACTTACAATGAGAGATTTAAGGAGTTCAATCTGTTTAGCTTCTCTAAAAGATTGAGAGGTGACTGTACCTTCATGGGAAGAAAACACCAGGTACTAAAAGGCTATTTAATCTAGCAGAGAAAAGCATAATAAAAACCAGTGGGCTAGAAGGCAAAGCCAGGCACATTCAAATTAGAAATAGGGTACAATTTTTTTTAAAGTGAGGATGGTTAACCATTGGAACAAACTGCCAAGGGGGAGTGGTGGATTCCCCATGTCTTCAAATTGAGGCTGAATGCCTTTCTGGAAAACATGCTCTGGCCAAACACAAGTTATTGGGATCAATACGGGGTAACTGAGTGAAATGTTTATGTCCTGTGAATGATAGGAGGTCAGATTCGATGATTTAGTGGCCCCTTCTGGCCTTAAACTGTGTAAATCTCTGAGTCAATTATTTTGTCACTGTACCTCGAATGTGTAATAGCAACAATATTAATTTAACTTAAATATACAGATTTGCTAGCATCCAAAAAAAGACACAAATATAGTGAAAGAAAGGCCCTAACTCGCACTTAGGAGAGCATATGTTTAAGTCCCACTGGAGTCAATGGGAGTTAATTGCATGTGTTTAAGTGCTTTCCTGAATCAGTGATATGCCGTGGATCAGTATCAGATAGCTTTATCCAAAGTCCAATGAAGTCAATGGGAGCCTTTCACCGAAATCCAGTCCTGTCTCCTGGCAAAGTGGCACCAGTCCCTTCCACCTTTCTGTTTCACTTTTTTCATATCCTTCTTTATTTTGTAAATTATTTCAAAACCTTTCCTCTACCTCCTCCCAAACTCAAGCTCAAAGTTCAGAAATGGGGGGAAATTACCCAGTACACTAGCATGTATTTTATGATAAGAGATGCTGGTCGCACGGCCTATTATTAAAGTTGCCTTGACATTACAAAACTCTGTTTTCAGTTGCTAATCACTTTGCAAACTGTTTGAGATGAAATTGTCCACACTGGGTGTCTGCCTCAGGCTGAATTTCAAAAATATTTTTTAATTTCAGCCACAATGGGTCAGCTGTTTCTGAGAACAATGGAAAAAATAGGATGCTTTGCCCATGTTAAAAAAAATTCTGGCATCCTTTTCTCTGAACTGTTCTAGTACACCCTCATGCTTTGGAAATGAAATTTGGCTGCTGCTGGTGGTGGGGGCTTTTTGGTCAAGTTATAAGCCTTTGAAAAAAATCATAGTTTGGACATGGTCAGTTGAGACTTTCCCTGTAATGGCTGCTCCGGGCCAGGGTGGAACCAGGCACTGGAACGGAGAGATGGGAGCCTCTCGCTCCTGTGCTCTCAGGGACCCCCCTGCTGGCACCCAGGCCGCCTGGAGGAGGAAGCTGCCTGAACTGAATGCAGAGGGGACAAAAGTCAGACTGGGGAAGAGGGGGGAAGAAATAGGAAAAAATAATATGCAATCATGTAATTAGACTGTCTTAGTTATAACACATATGCACAAGTGGGCCGAATTAAGGTTGCACAGGCAGCCTTAATTCCGGCATTTCCTAACGTTGGAGTGCTCAGCTTTGCAACCTTAATAATGTTCTTTCAACATAGTTATTTTGTGTGCAATATGTATATATACCTGCCCAACACAAACAGTGTCAAGTACTAAGACTGAAATCTCCAAAATAATATCATTCTGCCATCCCTTCCCCCCGGACTTAGAGCTGTCTCCCTGGCAAACGTCATACAGCACAAAGAAAGACCAGGAATAAACACAACACTAACCTAGAAGTTGTCTTTCACTTGGGGTATTTTCTCTCTCTCCCTCTTTCTTCACTTCTTTCTTCCACCTTCTCTGACTGTTTCCAGTTCCTCTCTGCCGGAGGTTCATTCTTTCCTTTGTATTTACTCTCTGGTCTCTCTTCTCTTTTTCTGCATCTTTTCTCTTCTCAGAATTAGAAAAATAAAACACTCATTTCCTTTATTTTTCACGTGTATCTCCACTCCCGCTTGCCTCACTCTTTGCAGTCCCTTTCTAATTGCCCCTCAGCTCTATGACCTTTTTCCTGTCTTCTATTACTATTCCACCATGACCTTTCACCTTTGTCCTCCCCATTCTATTGTTCATTTGTTCCCTGCTGGTTTGGGGCCTGCTCTCTCATTTCCATTTCCTGGTTCTGTACCCCCTTTTCTCCTGTGCTTCAGTCCCCTGTGCCCCGCCCTCCTCCCCACACTTTTCTCTCCCCCCGTTGCTGGTCTGTTATCAAGTCCCCACCCTTGTGCCCATCTCATCCCCCCAACTGCCCTCCATGTTTCCCATCACTCTTCTCTTCCCCTCATCTTCCCTGCTACTTCACATGGATCCCATTCATCTTTTCTCCCCGCACCTCCTCTGCATATACCTACCTCTTGTTATGTCCCCTCCTCTCTCGGGAAAGAGTGAGCACAGACGAAGACTCATCTTTGTGCATGCCCTCTGCCTCCTCTGCTTCTATGCAGCATGAGATGAGTCCTGACACGGGCAGGAGAAGAGGAGCCAGTTGAGGAAACTCCATGAAACTAGAAGAGTCACCCCACCACTACCTGGCAGTAGCGGAATCCATGCCTCCATCAAGGCCTGTCACCTCCACCTCCAGCCCCACGCCAACCCTCCTCTGAACAGGGCCTGACAACATGGGTGCACGAGGGTGGTACCCTTGTTCAACTGCACATGTTGCCTGGGAGTAAGACTGGCTATGGTACAGCCACACATCTGCTAATGGCAGCTCATAAAGAAAAAAGAAACCTCCTTCAGCTTAAAGTTCACTTTTTTCCCCCCTTCTGCTTCAAAAGAAAGGCAGATTTCAGGCCGACTCTGGAGCACCCTCTGCTATAGTATGTGCCATTTACTTCAGTAAGGCTGATTAAGTCGTGCATTTACAAGTAGGCCTTCCATCAGAACTAATTCAAAGCAGATGTGCTGGGTTCCACAGCCAGGGAGGCATCCATCTGAGAGTTGCGAGGGTCTCTGTGAGAGCACTGTTTTTATTGCACTTTATAGCACACTGGGAGGAGGTTAATTGGTGTAAACATTTAATTTCAAATAAGGATCCCCTTTTAAAGCTGTATATATGCAGATACTTTTTATGGAGCCTTATATTACAAAGTCAAAGGAAGGGCTGAGGGGGAAAAATAACCACCCCAAAAGACTTCAGGATCAAAGAAATCCAACCTGTCAAATGCTAAGATATTTTTATGAGGAAACAGAACTCACATTTTCTCCAGAAGACGCAAAGAGAAGCAAAGAGTGGAAAAATATTTAACTAGATTCCATGTTATATTAGGTGGGGAGGTGGAAGGGGGAATGCCAATGCTAATATGTTGGTTTCAGAACCTTCTAGCTTGGCGTCTTCTGCCAGAAATATTGGCAAGAGAAGACTCTTCATGGGGAATATTTGATAAAAAGTAATAGATTTGCACAGCTTAACAATAGCAGGAGGATTAAAAACTACCCTTTTGCTCCTTCCCATAGCTTTCAAACATATTTTGTTTTTTGCTTGTGAGCCAGCATAACCACTCTTATTCCCTGAAATTATCATCAGCCCTGGCTTAATGTAGTTTATCTGAGTTATGTTATACGGATGGATTATGGCCAACTTCATACAGTAAAAACCCCACACATGGGGTCTGCAGCTTGCTCAAAAAAAATCTTTCTTTATTTAGATTTAAATTTTATATTTATTAGTGGTGTTTGCATTTTGTTTTGTTAACAATATTTATCTTATTTTTCAGGCCGGCTTTTGGTTGCATTGGTTTCCAGGCATGTTCTCTCTCGCTCACATGGGACAATCTCATTCATTACTTGTATTACAGTAGCACCTAGATCCTCAACCGAGATCAAGGTCCCATTGTGCTAACCACTATCCAAACAACATATTGTTGAAAGATCTTAAAATTTACAGAGCCAAGACAGACAATGGAAGGCCTATTACTCCTGTTTTATAAATGGTGAACTGAGGCATTAAGTGATTTGCCCAAGGTCACACATGAAGTCTGTGACCGAGCCAGGAATTAAACCCAGGTCTCCTATGTCCCAGTTCAGTGCCTTAACCACAGCACCATAGCTCCTGACAAGCTAGCTTGAAAACAGCAAGTGAGACAGATACCAGGAAGACGTCAATTGCAGGAGGATTGATCAGCTGAATCTCTCTTCCTAGTGAAGACTGATCATTTGATAATGGAGAAACATTACATAAAAGAAATCTTCCTCCTTTACTTCCCGCTTTCCCCACCATTTTACACCCTAGGTTTTGCAGGCCCTTGTCAGACTTTCAAGGCCTCAGGCAGTTTTCTGTATCCCACACATTCCTGAGGTGGAGGGAAGTAGGATATTTACACTGGAGGATATTTTGAACGCTAGCACAACTGGAGATGTAGGCATGGCACGGAGTTTTCATGTCTGTAGGGGAGGAGTATCAAGATGTTGTGGCCACTAGGGGGAGCACTTGTCCTGGGCAGTAGGAAACAGTGGGAGGGTTTTATACTTTTTGATGGCCCTGTTGCTGAGTTTCTTTTCTCATGACCAAGGGCAGGCATATAGGATGACTCAAGTCCTAATCCTCATGCACTGGACCCAGGGCAGCGTACATTCAGTCACCACTAGGAGTACGTCTACATTGCCATTAAAAACCTGAAGTTGGCCCGTGCCAGCTGATGCAGCTTGTGAGGTCAAGCTAAGGTGCCGTTTAATTGCAATGTAGATGTTTGGGCTCAGGCTAGGACCTTGCAAAGTGGGAGGGTCCCAGAGCTCAGGCTGCAGTCCAACCAAAATGTCTACACTGAAATTAAATTGCCCAAGTCAGATGGCATGGGCCACTCATGGGTGTCTAATTGCAGTACAGACATACCCTAAAAAGGTACAACAGTTTCAAGCGGTTAGAAAAATAAATTATCTACAGGATAAAATTCACCCTACTACAGAGGATCTGGACAAGATCCACATCAACCCTTTATACAACGCTTTAATAGTACACAAGGACTTGGGTGTACAAGGGGTGAATATTATCTTTATGCAATAAAAAGCTAACAATCAAAAGAGGCAGAGAACACTGAGCCAAATCATTCCCTGGTGTAACGCCAATGATTTTAAGAACAGTTACACCATGGATTAATTTGTTTCAATGTGTTTTTAATTCAGAATTGATGCCAAGCTATAACCATTCCCATGTGAAACAGGCAAACGTGTTTCTACCATACACCAATGCGGTCTAGTGAAATGCAGATTTGAGGCTCTCTCTCTTTTTTATTAAGTCTTGCAAATACATTGATTCCCAGGTGAATTATATAAGAATAAATTATAAGCAGGCAGTGTTGATAAAAAAAAAATCTACAGGAGACATCCATTTTCAAATAAATCAGCACAGATCATCCCCTGCCATCCCAGCTTCTCTCTTTCAATTCCTTCCCCCTTTTAGTAATATCTGTTCCAGTTTCCTCACAAGCTGTTGGCCTTTCTGGCAGTTCTAGGCCACAAGCCAGTTTGCTGACCCACAGCTATTTGGGATGCACATTTGTAGAGTCCAGATAACCCCAGAGGGTTGAACCCCAAACAATAAGCAGTGGAATCAACCGATTTATACACAATGTTATTGTACTATAAAAGTATATCGAGTAAGGTCTTCTATGAATACTTGTAATGTTCTGAACTTGATATGTATACAGACTGTGATTATGAATTTATGTATTTGTGTGTATATATATACATATATACACACACACACACTTTCATAAGCTGAATTTTTTTAGTAAAAAAGGGAAGCACCAGAGACAGGGGTCGGCTTATGAAGGGTATAGAGAGGGAGAGGTGGGACACAGCCCCTCCCTCGCAACAGAGGGAGCAAGGAGAGGCAGCACAGCCAGCAGAGACAGAAGAGAAGAGTCTCTCCATTTCTGGCCACGCTGCTCTCCCCCCAGCCTCCAAAGCAGCTGCAGCCGTGCCGCTCGGCCCCACCCCCCAGAGCACGCTGCGGCCACACCGCCCAGCCCAGCCCGCTGGAACATGCTGCGGCTGCGCCACCCGGTCTGGCCCACCAGAGCAGGCTGTGGCCGTGCCGCCCGGTCTGCCAGAGCAACTCCAGCCAGGCCAGAGACATCCTCCCCTAGCCCTCCCCAGATAAGGTGGGAAGGGATGGGATGGGGAGAGTGTGGGGATCCGGGGCTACGGGTGGGGTCATATGGGGGGTGGTCAGAGGGGTTACTCCACTGACCCCCAGCTTCTCCCCCCAAAAAAGTTTCCCCACCAGTTGCTGTCCCGGCCCATCAGGGTAAGCAGCTTTGTTTACTTAGGTTTACCTCCGTGCCTGCAGATGCTCGAGG